GTTTAGTTACGTACGTACGTTCGGTTAGGTTAGGTACGTACGTAGTACGTACTACTAGTCATATTATTATATAAGTAGTACATAGTCTATTCTATATAGTAGTAGTAGTACTCTCTCTCTCTCTCTCTCTCTCTCTCTCTCTCTCTCTCTCTCCAAAAAAAATTGTGAACGAGAGAAAAGCACAGACAATCTCAAATGCACAGTAACATTAACCCCTGTAGTACCATATGAGAAACAAGCGAAACAAGCTTGAAAATGTCAAAACATGCATGAGCTGCACACCGAGCATAAAGCCCAAAAATGGGGAAAAAACAAGAAATGCACTTTATATATAGCAAATAATACATCTATGGATTAGATATGGCACAATAGAAGAAGAGCGAGGGGAGAACAGAGAGAGAGAGAGAGAGAGGGTTTATCTAAGTCATGGTACACGTTAGAAGGCACCCAAAGTTCATGGAATAAAAATTACAAAGGGGTTTCATGGAATTAAAAACTACAGAGGATTTACATAGATACACACACACATATATATATATATATATATATGGACAGAATGAGACATTTACAAATAGTGATGGGGACAAATGAAATGTGCTCTATGCTTGCTTTCTTTCTTGGTGAAACAGTGACCAGAAGAGATATAAACGAAAATACTAAGCACCCAATACCAAAATTTTCATGGGATCCATCTATATAGAGATAGAGACAAAAATATGAAAATCAATATGATTCAGAAGCACACATGCAATTTCTAGAATACCCATTTAGAGAGAGAAATACATCGTTTGTTTGTGACAGAAAGATGGAGAAAGCGAGATTATTTCAGGCAATATCACCATAAAATGCAGAAACAAAATGATATGCGTTTCACCACTAGAACCAAAAACCAGAAAACTCAATCTCAAACTTGACAAAAAAATCAAGGAACTACAGACTTACACATGATTTCTCTCTGGATATCTTCGTAGGGGACTGGACATGGCAGGTTGAGATAGTCCACTTTATCACTCTTCTTACTTTCTCCCTCTTCCTTTGGGGGCTGAGCTTCGCCCCCTGGATACGTCTGAATTGGCGGAGGTGGGGAGGGAGCAACAGAGTGACTCATTGCAGAACCCATCTCAGATGAAGCTTTCAAAAGCTTTTAATGGCTATAATTTTTAGGGCAAAACGATACCCAGGTCTCTCTCTAGTAACCTGGTAGAAAGAGGAGAAGCTCACAGCCTCCTCCCTTATATTGCAGAGGAGGGCACTGCCATGAAATGGGCGGCTTCTCGGTGTTTAGGGGTTTTAGGAGGGGTTTTCTTTAGAGAGAGAAAGAGTCGGGAAATGTGAGAAAGTTGATAGAGAGAAAGAGGAGTTACAGAACTTAGGTTTTTCTCTTTTATTTAGACTTCTGAGTTTAATCCATGGACCACGGTGATGAGCAAGAGTACAGTCAAGTCAACATAGCAGTCCTGGGGATTATGATGGGCTTTCCCCTTTGTGGACTATAGTGATGAGAAAGGGTACCGGCGGTCCTGGGTATGGGTGGCAATGTGTTGGGTGTCCACCTGAGTCCCTGGTGGGTAAACCTGAACTGAGTCCATGTCTGGTTCCATATGTTAGACCCAGCAAGTCAAATCATAGCCATCCAAATAACTTGCACCCGACCCATATCCAGTTTTGGTTTGGGTCTAACTCATACCCTATCAGGTCTAGTCAGGTGTTGATTGGGTTTGACCCAAACCACCCCCACCCAGTGTAACAATGTATAAAATATAAAATATATATACTTTTATAATGTACAACTATTTAATTTTATCATTATTTCTAGACCCATGGTGCAAATGACCTTGACCCAACTTAAGTCTCGATCTGGTCTAGGCCCATGACAAACCTAGTCGAATCGGGTTGAGTTGCCACCCCTAGTCTATGAGATTGTCCTGTGCCATGCCTTTTCTCGAGAAAAAAACGTTCATATAAAGTTGCAGCATTATACTATAAACATATGGTGCACCTAAAAAATCCAGTAAAAAAGTATGTTTCAATATTGAAAACCCTTCTAATTTATCATCTCCACCTTAATAATGGGAATATAAATAAATAATAATAATTTAAATTTTAAAGATAGCATAGATTATAACAAGTTATTTAGATTGTCCATTTACAATATTTTTAAGGGTTTATAGATCCATTTAATCAGTATTGCTCTTTTGAAATTTTGAAATTTGCTATTAGGGTTGAATATGGACTTTCAAACCATCAAAAGTGAACTACATCTTTCATTCAAATTTACTTATTTAATAGAAGGTGGGTACCTAATACATACCTCATCCCTTTATTGAGTGCTAGTTACTCATCCCTTTATTGAGTGCTAGTTACGGCAGATTTACAGTAGTTCCTAGTTCAGGACCATATTAGATTATCTCTTTCTAATGTGCTTATTGTGTGGTCTGTATATTTATTAAGAGAGATTAGTACAATGGGAAAACCTTGAGTTGGCCTCGAGAAAATATATCAAAACAATTTTATGCAACCGTTGTATAGTAATATAATGTAATAACATTAAAAAATCATCTTATGTCTATTTGTTTGATCCAAATTTTCAAATATACACTATTTTTTACAAAAAATAAAAACTTGAAAACACAACCTATAAAGTATTTTTTTAGTCCAATTAACATAGGCCGTTCATTTTGGTGAGATGCTTAGATCTAGGCCTTAGAAAGATTTATTTCTTTTCTATTTTTTTTAATTATTTTATTATCATTAGATGAACAATGTTAAAAAAGAAAAAAACGATTTTGAGTTTATAAAGGCTATGATAGTGCAATTCACAAAATAAATGGTCTAGATTCGTTTTTTAAAGTGACTCATTTTGACCATATTTAGGGTTCAAAATGATATTTTTTTTTTGTGAGGGATTAATTATTGAGATGAAGAGAGTGTATGTGCCACATTTGGGATCATATAAATACCATAAACATGGTTTTCTAGAAGTGTTATTGCATTATACTACGATACAACCGTTGCATTAGATCATTGCTCAAAATATTATACTGAAATTTCACTTTTTTTAACCTCTTATTTTCTTAAGAATCGGGCTTGGACTTGGATGGTTAACAATTGACATATAACAACACCACGTCTCGAGTTTGATTCCTACCGCAAACGAGCAACGACATGGGTTTGATCCACTTAAGAATCACAAGATACTTACTTCAACAAAAATAAATGTGGATTTTGATTTTTTTAACACTTGGATTATGTACTTCAAAAATTAGGTGGTCCTTGTTCAATTTTGAGATTATATTTTTCCACGTACATAAAATATGAGATGTGAAATTTTATTTTATCGAGGTTGGTCCCTAGATTTAAAAGGTGAAGTTCCGTGTTCAATTTTAAGATTATATTTTTCCAATAAATTTTATTTTATTGAAGCTGGTCCCTAGATTTAAAAGGTGAAGGTCCCAAAAATTGGGGCTCAAGAGATAAGGGTTTAGGAAAAAGTTTATATAATGTCTCAACCTTATACTGTATAGGTAAGGTGCACCTAAAAAAACACTAGTGACAATTATTTTTATGCTCGAAAATTATCAAATTGATCATCTTGACATTGAGATTCATAGACATTACAAAAATAGGGGATTTATAGTCGTATAAATAGTTCATCTTCTAACACATTATATGGACCATCCGTTCTTCAATATTTTCAAGTGTTTATAGATCTACTTAATTGTCACAATTTATGGAACTTTAAATTTCATAATTGGGGGCAACAATAGATTTTCATATCATTGCAAGACTTTGTGGCACCGAAACTACACTTTCGGTATAGTATTGAGGTGCACCTTACTTCAATAGGATAAGGTTGACACCTTATACCAACCTCACCCTTTACACGATAGAGCAAATGGGCAACTCATGCAATATCTTTTTTTTTCCCCTATTTTTAGAGTTAATGTGTAGGATTTAAGAGGCAAAATATGAAATTTTCTATAGGAGTTGGCTATAACATATTTTGTTAAAAGTTGTTGTTCGTTTTTTTTCCCCTATTTTTAGAGTTTATGTGTAGGATTTAAGAGGCAAAATATGAAGTTTTAAATAGGAGTTGGCTATAATATATTTTGTTAAAAGTTGTTCATAAGGGAATCCTAATTTTAAAGGATTTAGTTGGAGATTTTCTTATAAAAATATTTATATAGGATTTAAGATGAAAATAGAGAAAGAGAGCGAAAAAAAGCCGGGGGGAGATATAGACAGTTTTATTTACTTATTTATTTAGTTATTATCCGTTTTAGTTGGTGCTTAAAGGGAATATATCTATTTTTTCAAATACATATGTTGAATTGCGTAATTTTTTTTTCTTTTTTTCTTTAAGGTTTTTTTTTTTTTCAAGTTTCATTTCGCTCATGTATTAAAAAAATAACAAATTGTCCATATTCAAGACTGAGAACCGTGATTAAGTAACCAAAATATCCCTACTTTAAGTTTTCAATATTGACAATGGTAATTTTATCATATTTTTACTATATTTATCCTCGTAGACCATTTAAAATTTGTAATTATAAAAGTCCCATTAATTTTTGTATATTACACACGCGTCCCTTGTGTTCATCATCTAGTTGTTATTTAAACTTTGCCCCTGACTCAATGGATATCCGAAGTCCCAAATGACTTCGGATTTTGAATATCTATAGTCATATTTTAAGTTATTTTTAGGAAAGAAAACCAAAATTACATTGTAATTGAGATTTCCATGTAACTTGTTATGGATAATCAAAAACCAAAGTCAATTGTGACTTCGGATTTTCAATATTTGAAGTAGAAAATCATATATATATTTTTAAAGATGACTAATAACTTCATATTTTCAATATCCAAAGTCACATGGGTAAAATTGAAAGAAAAAGGAAAAGATAGATAAACGAGACATGTGCATAATATACACAAATTTTGAGTTATTCGCAATATAAAAATCTCGAATCAAAATTTAAATAAGATATACCGATAAATTTCTCTATTTCAAAAGGTACTAAAATGAAATGGGTTTAAAAAACCAACAGTCTCATTAGGATATTTTGGCACATTTGTAACATATTTTATTTTCTAAAAAATTCTAATAAATTCAACCAAAAATTTCGTAATGAACCTAACTATAGTATTTGAATCCCGTTATTTACTTCAAAATTCATAATGAATGTCACCACAATTTTATAATATACAAATAAATTATTTTATTTTTCTAAACTTTAAATACAATCGTTGGTACTACCCGTTAAGTTATTACTTTACATTTTGATGGTTAAAAACGGTTGTTATCGTTCTTCACCATAAAGAAACAAAACAGTATTCACCAAAAGTAAACAATACTACAGTTTACTTCCCCAGTTTTTTTAACTTATCAAGGCCAAGGCTATTTTTGTTGGGTGTGGTTTGTATTAAGTTGCAACCTTAAACAATCCAATTAAGGTGTAACTCCAAATTTTGTAAAAAATTCTTAAGATTATATGAAAATCTATTTTTATCTCCAACAATATAATTTTAAACTCAAAAAATGGCTAAAATTAAATAGATCTATAAATATATGAAAATCTTTAAAATGGATTGTTTAGATAATGTGTTGATGCACTATTTATGAAATTCAATATCTTTTTTGTTTTTTTTTGACATTCATACATCTCAATGTTGAGATGATCAATTTGAGGGTTTTTCAACATTAAAATAACTTTTTTCAATGGATTATTTAGGTGCAAGGCCGTACACGTAGAAATGCGGGTCCCTCCTTTTGATTGATCATATCGACATCGAGATGTATGACCATGAAAAATAAAAAGATTGTAAGTCTCATAAATAGTACATTTTACAACATATTATCTACACCATCCATTTTCAAGATTTTCATATGTTTATAAATCTATTTGATTTTAACCATTTTTTAAATTTAAATTTTTATAATTAGATGTAAAAATAGATTTTGAGATAATCCTAAAAACATTTTACATCAAAATTATGTACCATGATAAAATTTGAAGATGCACCTTAACTCCAAAGCTACATATGCATCAGTCTGCCAACTGCATCATTTAAAGGCATGTAATCTCTATCATGGAGATCATGAATATGAAAAAATAAATAGATTTAAAAAATTAAAAATAATAATTATAGTAAAAAAACATTTTGATCGTTAGTTTCCATTGTTTTTAGATGAAATACCTACTTGCATCCATCTTTGAAATGGATGCTTTACACTTTTTGGATGGCATATGTAGAAATGCGGTCCAGCCCATATGAAACAATTTTCTATAATTATATTAAAAAACCCCATGTTGACCATTAGTTTCAATTGTTTTTAGATAGAACACCTATTTGCATCGGTTTTTAAGATGAATGCTTTATACCTCTGGACTACATATTATACAAATGCGGTCCAGCCCCATGAAACAATGGTTCGCACCCTCTTCTATCCTATGTTTTTTGGGAAAAGTTTATATAGAGCCGAGGCTCTAAACAATCAAATTTGAGCTTATCTCAAAAATTTTATCAAAAGAAGTTGTTTTGATGCTCAAATATCCTTAAATTGATCATCTGGACATTAAGATGTATGGACATGAGAAAAAAATTGATTTCAAGTTTTGAAAATAGTGTATTTTGTAATGTATTTTTGGACAGTCAATTTTCAAGCTTTCATAGATTTATAGATCTACACTATTTTTGAAGCTTTGAACTTTATAAATAAAGATTAAAATATATTTGAAGTCTATCACTAAGATTTTCAATATTGAAATCTCATTTTTCGATACTATTTGAAGATAGGTTCTAATTTGATTGTTTAGAGCCTAGGTTATATACAAACCGCACCCATTTTTTTTTGTTTTTTTTTTGGGTTTGCTCCGAAATCCAAAACTTAGTATAAATTTGCTCCCTCCAAAATCAAAATTTGCCTCTCTCTCTCTAAATCAAAATTTGCCTATCCTTCTCTCTCAACATCAGAATCATTCAATGAATTATTGCCACCTCTCTCTCTCTCTCTCTCAAATCAAAATTTGCCTCTCATTCTCTCTCTAAATTCCGAATTTTTTTACAAGTATGTTTGCCAACCACCTCTTTCCCTCTCCCTCTTCCTCTCCCTCTCTCCCCAAAGGCTGTATCAGAGGTATTTTTTTTGCCATCTCTATCTCCATAAGACAATAAAAGTAGCAAAAAAAACAAAACCTACTGAGACTTCAAACAGAGAGTGCAATGGCGAACGGGAAGGTCTTACTCATAGAGGGGAACCCAGAAAACCCTAACCCTAGCTGGAATGGCGGTTTAAACACTGATTTAGTGGATGCTCTCCCTTACATTGACGACGACTATGGCAATCTCAAGGTTAAGGAAGAGGTAGACAGGCTTGTTGAAGAGGAGATGAGGAATAGCACAAAGAAGCCATCGGATTTCCTGAAAATTCTACCTCCTGCTCCCAAATTCAACTTTGAGGTGTTGTTTTCCATGTCTTTTAGATATTTAATTGATGAATGTGTAAGAAGTCTGAGATTATGTAGATATTTACTCTATTTTGTGGGATTTTATTAGGATGGGATTTCTTCATCTGTTTTTTTTATGTGATATTGTGCCTATTTCTCCTGTGAATCTCTGCATCTCTTTGGAACCATTCGGATCTCAATTTCTACATGCATTTCTGTTCGTTTTAGTTGTCTTATTTTTTGAATAAAGGTGACAATATAATAAATACAATAGTTGTTACAAAAGACTCACAAGGTGTGAATAGAGGGCAGCCCACAATTCGGGTGCTCACAAAAGGGAAAATAACGAAAATAAGAGGTAAAGGAAACCAATAGAAAAGGAAGGAAGAAAAACTAAAAAAGAAAATAACAACATAGGGGGAGGGTTAGAAAGGGTTAAGTAATATAGAGCAGTGTGAGGGGATTATTATTTTAGCTGTCTTATTACTTTTGCTTATTTTTAATATTGGACTTGAAGCTCATTTTATTTATCTTATTTTCTTTTATAATTGTTGGAGTTGGAATAGCAAAATTCATAGCTAAGGAAGATGATACATTAAGGATAAATTAAATTGGCATGTGTTTTCTATTATCATGCTTATGGCTTTCTTCTTTACAGAAGCTCAACAACGGTTAAGTGCTACTTCTTGTATCATAGCAAAGTGGATTTTATTAAGAAACATAGAAATGCGGTAGTCGTATGTACTTATTGGAGAAAAACCGAATAAACCATTGGTATCCAACTTGTTGGTTCTTGATAACAGATAAAACAGTGTTATAAAAAAAAGGATAAAACAGTAGTATCCATGCTGTAGAGTTAAATCATGTCTGGTTCTATGTTTCCCGAATATTTATGAGCCAAGTTTCCTAGCTTTTACTGTATGTCAGTGTGATGTAAATTGCATCCAGGAACTAGCTGGAACCAATTTATTTAATGAGTGTGATTGCAATTATTTGGGCTGAAATGAGATTAACTTGTTGGGGATTATCTTAATCATCCAGTGCTGATTTTGGGATTTTGAGTTAATGGGGGGTAAATTGGGTTGGTCCACGAGTCAATGTAGTCCATGTTTCCACTGGTATTTTGATTTTAAAAGTAAAAGAGTTTCAAGGTGATCCACGAGTCTATGTATTGTGGGTCGCCAGCCCAAAGTAGTGAGCTCCAATGCATGAGGAGTTGCACGCATAAGGAGTTAATTGTGGGGGAAATATGGTGCTAGGGTAGTTTAGTTATTTCCTTATTTTAGTCAATGTTTATTCAGGGTTTGGGCATGGGAGAGCCCTATATGTACTTCATTTTGCTGTATCAAAGATGGTTAATCAGTCACATGAATTCTCCTCCGACATTGCCCTACTTGGCAAAGTGGTGTAACCTGACATGGTGTATGGTGTGGTAGGTTGGAAGGACTTTATATTCTTACTTCGGCAATAATCGATATATTGTTGTTGGTTGCATAGTCATTAAGACCAAACCAGACTAGCTTGTCCGATTGTTGGAACTACCAACTAGTGCCTTTGTCGGTCTAGTCTAAAGCATAAACCAATTTTGGTCACAAAATTATGGTTGATCTGTTTTGACTGGTCGGATTGTTTGCGTTGACCAGTTCGGTCTAGTCTAAAGCAGAAACCAATTTTGGCCACAAAATTATGGTTGATCCGTTTTGGTGGGTCAGATTGCTCATTTTTTACTTGTTCGACCAACTAAACAAAGTTAAGCAAATTGTTGGAGACTGGTCCAACCGGTTTGAACAATGCTTGGATCAGTTTTGACGACCAAACCCCTCACTGGTTCAGTGGCCGGTCAATCCTGATAGCATTGGTTGCCTAGAAAGTTCCTTTCCCTTTTGGTTTCTTGATGGTGATCAAGAGATCTCTAAATCGTTTTTCTCTAAATGGTTTTCCTTTCACCATGGTTGATTGACTTGCTTTCGTGTTGTTGCTGAATCGACCATGAAACTTCCCTGTTTGTGCTCCTGATTTGGCACTATTTGGTATCAAACCTAGGTCGTGAGTTGCACTGATCATGATGGTTGGTCATGGTGTAGGACATGGCCATTGATTTGGTGCTCGACTTGGATAGGTTGGTTGAAAAGGTGAACCATCTAAAAGGAATTGATGGCCTTGGTGATGCGTGATCTGGATCGGCAAGCATACCCTCGGGGCAAATAAGGTCTACAATGATAAAACTGATGCAAGCGACGGTCCTTCGGCTAGTCATGATAGTTCCCATGGGGCTTTTGACCCAATCAATCCATCCATCCTTTTATGATGATTTACATCCCAAGGTTGCAAGGAGATCCAAGACGGGAAGGCCGACCTTTTGAAGAAGTTTATTTTTAGTTTGTTGCTGTTTTTACAGTCTCTTAGTGGTCTCCAATGTTTTAATTAAGTTTGGACGATTTAGGGACCTTTTATGTTTTAATCGCATGAAGGGGCTTATGGGATATTTTTATAATATTTTAACTTAAGAGGGGGTAGTTTTGGTATTTTTTTATTATAATGTAATAAAAAGGGCTTGGGGTGTTAGGGTTTCTAACACTTTTTGGGGAATGAATAGTCAAAACAGGGTGTGAACAATAGTACCAGGACCTATCTAGGGTTTTGGGGTTTCTTTATTGTGCAAGGAAAGTCAGGTCCACTCAAATCTAGCTTGTTTTGATGGTTTACATCATAAAGCAACAAGGTGATCAAAATGATGTCAGCAGAATCAGATTTCAAAGGCCATGGTATGCAAGGGCCTTGATATAGGCGTGAGTTGGAAGATGGCTTGAATGAGTATTTTGGTGTGGCATAGATGCACTTATTGCTGGGATGATGATTTGGGTATTGACGCTGATCTCCCTAAATCTTATGGAGCTCTGCCATAGGACGATTATGGAGAGACGTTGTTGTCAAATGGTCCTTAGAACTAGCAAATCATAGATTGCAATTCTTCATCAATATTTGATGGGAGTATCTTAATGAAGAAGTGTGTGAACCTATCTTTGAAAGCAATCTTACCTTTAGTGATGATTCGATCTTTAAAGGGGATCGAGAAGAAGATCCCATCCTTGGGAGACGATTTCGTGAATTCTCATATCCTTGATGAAGAACTGGGTGAAAGTGAAGGAGGTGTTCCCAAAATGTTGGAGGTAATTGGTTCCTTAATTACCCTAGGAAGTTGCAAAAAGAGTGATTATGAAGGAAGTAAATCAAGTGATATTGCTGATATTGTTTCTCTCTGGAGTTTTACCTGAATTTGGGGTGCCATGTGAGGTTGACACCAAAGAGTTCATGGTAATTCCCCCTGAACACCAGTTGGTGAGTTTGCTGTAGGAGATGCTCACCAAAGGGTTGCTGAAATCATACTCAATGTGATAGTTTAGGTCGAGTTGTTGTGCAGCTTTGATGGAAAAGTTCAAATCTGTTCCTGATCATCGTTCTCTAAAACCTAAATCTAAGGAACCTAATATTTGCATCTCGACCCCACAAAGTTCCACAAAAGCAAGCCTCAAAGATTAGAGTTTTTTGTATGCCCTAGTAGAAGAGTTTTCCTTAGGTGTGTTTATGGCCAATAGTATTGTGCACTTGTATCATAGATGCGGTACATTTCAATGTGGAGAAAATGTGACAGTGAAATGCTTAGGAGAGGTTCAATAAATTGACACACTTCAATCTCGGGTCATTTTTGACATGAGTATCCTAGCAAATGGGTCTCAATGCCTTAGAGAGATGGCGACCCATGGTTTTCAAATTTCAACTTTCTCCATCTATCCTTACTAATGTCAATGCATCACAGTGGCCTCATAGATGCTTGGAGAGTATGGAGGCAGTCATGCAAGCCAATGTTAAAGCTCTGAAACATGAATTTAGTGGTAATATTTGTAGGGACATTGCACTCTCATCATGTCGTTGCAAGAGTGGTAGTCTCCTTTCTATGGATCCATTCTCAATCTTACAAGTTATAGAGGGGATATTTCCTATGAAATTGTTTTGGATGGATTATCCAAGGAGGCATGATTAGAAGTGTCAAAGGTCGAAATGCTTCCATCTAATCTTCAAAAAGTTGGATGTGCCCACCTAGGCGGTTTGGGGACCTGGCGGCCTAGGAGGGCGTGCCCAGGAACACAGGCGGGCTCCACACACACGCACACACACAAGAGAAAGAAAAAAAAAAAACGGAAAAAGAAGTTTTTAGGCAGTGGTTAGGCCACTTAGTGAGTTTTTAAGGCAATTTTAGAGCCCCAAAGCCCTTGAAAATAAAAAAAAAGGGTAGTTATGAAGACAAACATCATCAAATTGCGACAAAACTAAATTGTCATATTAATATATTGCATTACAGAAATTAATAACACATCCGTCAAAAGTCAAGGAAAATTCTAGGTCACCACTCATCACCACCCCGAATAACTTTTGACAATTCTATGTCATTACCACCATGAGTAGAATCTAATGATGATGCCATGGAATCATAATAAGAGTCATCCCCCTCCTCCACATATTGAGCATCATCCCTTGTCTCATTTGAATTCGCTTCATCCTCCTCTCTCAATCCCATCAACCTCTTGCCCTTCTCCTTTGCCTTCCTCCTTCCCTTCCTTTGGCTTTGAGATTGAGATTGAGTGGTCCGCATAGGGTTCAATGGTGTCCCAACAACCTCATGAACTTGGCCCCATGTCAAGCCCTCTCCAGGGAATACCTCAACTTTCCCCACCTGTAAGAATCATCTATATCATCAACTTCAATAGCCTCCCTTTCATTGTGCTTCAGCTCTTGATGGCGCTTCTGCAACTTTTGATTATACTAAATAAGGACAAGGTCATTCAATTTCTTTTTCTCAAGTCTGTTCCTCTACGTTGTATCGACCTATTAGACATATGTTGAATGAACAATTAAATTTAGAAATAAATAATATAGGTTATGCTAATAAATTAACTGACTAACTACTATGTAAGTAATATTTCCACTTCAAACATGCTGAAGTTGCACTCACAT